GACACCCCGCGAGGTACAGTTCAACTCGTGGACGCGCAACGGCAAGATACCTCCCTTCAGCCCCTACTGAGCGAGCTGGACGCGCGTAGAGGAGAGGACAACGACTATTTGCTCACAGACGACAACCTGCTCTGGCATGCACCACGGGGTTGAGCGTACGCGGTTGCGGTGCCCAAACAGCTCGTGCCCACGGTGCTCGCCCTGGTTCATGGGATGTTCGGCCACGGAATCGCTCGAAAGACAATGCTGATTGAAGTGAGGTATCACTGGCTCACACAGAAAAGGACGTCCGCGACGACGTCCTGTCCTGCACATGCCGCCGGAGGAAGCTAGCGTGAAGCAAATAACTGGGTCGATGCCGGCCTAACTGCTCCAGACGTGGGAAGCCCTTGAGATGGACATCCAGGGCATGAAAGTGCCCTCGTACAAGTTTTCACGGCGTTCCCATCACCAACGAAGGAGGCAGTTGGCGTCAGCCGCAAGCTGCTGGAACTCCTCCCCTGTCGACCCGATGCGACTCCGGTGGTGGGTTCACGGCGAACGTGATGCAACACCGCTGCCGCTGGCTGACAGTACCCCTGGACTTTGGCCCAACTAAACACCCGCGAGCACAAGGAGCAGTCGAGAGGCTGGGGGGGTGGCTCCACGAGGCCCTCATGCAGTTACGCGTTTCATGTCCTCGGCGATGAGACGACTTTGTTCCTGTCCCCACCTGGATCCACCGCGTCATGCCAGACGAATCACTTGTCGGGGGAGAGTCGCCGAACCGCATGCTCTTCGGCCGGGAGCCCCGTGGCCACATCGATATGGTGACCCAAGCCGTCGATGACGACGCCTTTGGCCGCGGGCTCGAGCTCACTGTCACCGACCAGCAGCGCATGACCCAGGAGATCCTCAAACTCCACGAAGCCCAGAATCCCCTGCGAGAACGCCACAACGCCGGGGTTGAACGAGAGTCACCAGGTGCTAGGACCGCCACTGGAAACTTCGTGCTCGTCAAGGAGCCGACCAACACGCTCCACCGCGATAGCCTTTACCTGAAGCTGGCGCATGACCACTGCACGGGCCTGTGGCGGGTCATCAACGTCATCTGGATCCGCCTGGGCTTCACAGTTCAACTCAAAGGACGACGGATTCACCAACGCCGGGTCGTGGTGGGGTGACATCAAGCAGTACCAAACGCGGCTACCCCAACTTCGACTCCCTTTCGAGGACGAATACGCACGCCTGGTGTCGTCAGCTGATCTCGGCCTGGCCGACACCTCGGTTGTCGCGGTTCGACTGCACATGATGGTAGACAGAAGGTTGCGTGTGGTACCGGAAACACCACCACGTGGGCCTGGGAGTATCAGCACCGCTGACAAGATGGCGCGCTATCGCCTTGGATGACGGAAGACGAAGCAGGTGACAGCTTCTCCCCACTTCATCTCGGCGTCTTCCGCACCGCATACGAGAAGTACCACGGCGCGGACGCCACGCCAAGGCCTGCCGGACCGCCCCCTCGAGGCGCACGCGAAGTGGCGTCGCCGGAACAAGCCTGGCAGCTGATCCCGAGAGCCACACTCTGATAGGTAGGGAGTTTGCCGATAACGAGGGCCACCCCAAGGTTTCAAGGCCACCGTGTTCGACTTCTGTGGCCCCTATTGGCGGGTGGAACACCCTGACGGCAACTGGGAGGAACTCACGAAGAGAGAAATGAACGCCGCCGTTGGAGTCGCTGCTCGCCCTTCCTTCTCTGGTTGAGTCTTGGCTGGGGTGTATGACACTGCCATGAGCCTGCCGACGGACTATCTGGCAGTCTGAGTGTGTGTGCCGGTAGTGGAGGACTGCGTGACGCGATTGTTTTGGCACCACCTTCAGCGTGTCGATCCACGGAGAATGGAGGAATGAGATTTTAACATGTTCAAGATCACCTTCTCCTGGTCCAAGATTGAGACTCCCCTTCTCTATGTTCAGTATTTGCGGACAAACTAGAAAGTGTTGTTCCGGCCCCCCCTCACTACGTCCAGTCTTTACGGACAAAGTAGGAAAGGGGAGTCGGACCGTGTGTAGGCACCGGGCGCCCGTCCTACTAGCATAGCCGTGTATCACAGTCGATGCTGGGGGGTTGTTCCGGCCGGCTGTCCTCACCGGTTCCGTAAACACGATGATGAATACTTCGCATGGTCGCGAGTATTAGAAGGGCGCAGGCTGACTTGATCGAGGAGCTGAACAGACCAATATATTCCCCCGATCCAGCCTGCTGTAGAGGTTCAGGTAATTGTCCCCTGGCCCCAAGGGCAAACGCCTCCTCAGGCGATTGCCCGCCCAAAAACCGACAGGCGTTTACTTGCCACCGTCCCCGAAGCGGAAGACCGATTGAGCCACATCCTGTGCCTTTGCCCACCAAGTGCCAACCCCTGTGGGTGCTGAACCTGATACGCCATTTACTGAGCATGCGAGGAACTGAGCAATCGCTGTGGGATGTCGCCCATTACCCTCTACAGTAGTCGTACTTCTGCTTGACTGCTGCTCTACATAGATCGTTCTCCGCAGATATAGGTGTACTATATCTGCCCAGGTGAATCATGCATGACCCGAATAATATCGAGATTAGGCCTGATCTTATCTGTTTCACAAACACCGAGGGGGGGGAGACCGAGGGGGGGCGCAAACAAATGGAGGGGGAGGCGCGACAAGAATGCCAAGAATTATCCCATTGGTTGACTTGACTGACCCCGTTAGCACTTTTCCGGTTAGGGATAACGCACATCGTTGAAAACAAGCTTTCCATCATTGTCTGCCCGTCACGGGGCTGGGCGGTCGCGCGCCTCGAGCGTTACACTACCGCGCGAAGTCGCCCCTATTCGGACGATTGCCCCCTGCATCACGGACAGGCTACGCCGGGCTCTTCATCGAGAAATGGTTCGCGAGCCGCATTGGTCGCGCTCGCGAATATTTTGTCGAGCTCTTGCGGAGAACGTCAAGGACAAGTTACGTCATCACCCGTGGCGTTCTTGGCGGGTAGAGTCTCCTTTCTGTTCGTTTGAGGCGCATGCAGCGGCTTCATCACTGCACGTGTGGCGCACGTGTGACGTATCTCCAGCCGCGAAGCCTTCTCCTCTTCGCAGTTAACTCAGAACGCTCATCTAAATATCCTCTACAGACACACACGCACACGTGAACCCCCACGCATCATGACCCCAAGTCGATATCCATGGCGTCAAACTCAAAAATAAACTACATGGGGTCAGAACTGAGATGCAAGAGTTCGCCCACTGTCGCGTTTCAACTATTTTTCGGCCACCCTCGCCGACCTCAGCAAGACGTCTGTCGATGACAACGCCCCTGCCGAGGGCTCGAGACTCAAAACGCGAGCCGAGCGTTACACACGTTGTTAGCATGGCGTTTGTTGATCTTCTTTCGAATCAACCATCACTACACCCAAGGAAAGAGCGAGATGCCAACGGCAGCGCAGGTTTTTCTCCGCAGACCCCATTCCGCGCCTTCTTTCCGCAGACAACATTCTGCGCCTTTCTATCATGTCTCTGCCTTTCTGCCTAAATGACGGCATCTTTCTTCTTCCAAGTGTCAACCAATGGTTCTCTGTACTTAGGTGGAGGCATCGCCCCCAACGATGCTTGCCCCTACCGGATCACTGTCCTCATCACTATCAAAGCAAACCTGGCCCTGGGAACAGGTACAAATACGCACGTACACGCCAAGTACTTCCGACTATCCTTTTGTTCCGAGGCAGAGCGAGCTACAACGGCATTGTACACAAGGCGAATACTGATAGATCCGAATAGTCTGAATCCTACGAGGCGAACTAGACTAAACCTTTATTACATTGAGGCATAATATCTCTCCATGGCCCGGCGAATGACAAATGCTAAGAAAACCTCCTTTGCGGGCTGTGTCAGCTACCCTTCGTATCACATTTTGAACCCGCCGGGAGATCGACCGGCTTGATTTCATCTCTTAACGTGCTGTTTCTGAATATCGTGCCGTCTATCAACCACACACGGCACAGAACTCTTTACTCTTCATCCTGCCTTACCAAATTCAAATCCTTTCCCCAAGCTTGCTCACCTCTCAGACAAACGGCAAATCAGGTCAGCAGGCGGTCAAGATCTGACCTGGGAAGTGCGTGCTCGAGACCCCGCACCCTCAAAATGTGCCCAACCGGGAGTCTCTGTCCCCTGACCAACTTCCTCACTGCATCCCGTGCATGCGCCGGGATGACGGTCGTTCCGCCGAAAACCCATACCCTGGCGAGCGCCGCATCATATACCGCAATCGGGGCGGAGCCCAGCCCACCCCCTCCGCCAGGTATTATTTGGCTCACACCACCAGCCGATACGGCTCGCTGGTCGCCATACGGAGACCCCTGGAGCTTGGCATCGCGCATGAGGGGATTGGCCCTGACTCGAGGCTCGTTCAGCTCCGATGTGGTGTACGAAAGGTGCACCAGCTTCGGTGGCGTGGATGGAGCAGGGCTGTCCGTGGAGCGTGAGGAAGCACACGAAAGCGCCAGCAGTACCCCGTCGGCCTCGCGTTCAGACAGCAGCACCATCTGTCCGTTCGCGAAAACGAGAGCGGCGTCCACCGGCCGCAAGTAGTCGTCGAGTGCTGCTGTGCAGCCCGTGACTCCAAAGAGAAAGTTTCTGGTGCAGAAAACGTTTTGCGCCGGCAGGTCTAAGGTCGAGATGTGGGCCTCCATGGTCATGCATCCCCATGCTTTCTCTAGGGTCATCACCTGGATTGCGGGACGGGAATTTGATCATCATTATGTGGGCAAGAGGAAAGGAGGCGGTTCGAGGCTTGGACGGTGTGGTGGAACCCTTCGTGTTGCTTCGCGAGCCTTTTCAACGTGGGATTTATTGTTGGACGGTAGCTGAAGGTGTGGTGTCTGTCCCCCCGCGCGTTGAAGACACTGTAATCGGGGTCTTTCAGGGACGAAATCCTACTGGCAGCATTTACCAAACAGAAAGTAAGGACTATGCAAGTGGTGCTCCTGATCAAAGACTTGCTGCACCCAGGACTTCCTGTACAACCTCGGAAAGAGCATCATACCAATGGATGCAAATACGTAGGGAATGCAATTCGTATTGGTGTACGGTTGGTGTTGTAGTCGGAAAGGTTGTTGAGATATAGTTTGCCCTGGTGTGCCAAATGACAGCAGCACAATATGAGGCACTCGTTGCTGGCCTCAAGCGGAACACTCTTCTCAATCAAGCTCATTCCCGACCACAGCCTTCTTCGGAAAACCGCCTTTTTCGTCCCGCCTATTTCCTGCTTGTGATGCTCGCGGAAAGTGAGATGTTCTTCGCAATATCAATACGTCTGCGCTGCTCCACGGGCTCGCTCGTCTTCAGCGTTTACAATGGATCTTCTCCAACTGGCCACCGCACCAAAACCACCAATGCAATAACAGAACACCAGAACCATAAACGCGCCATCCAGTTTTAAACAGAGTATGATTATTAATATAGATGTTGGTTGTTTGCCTCACCTTGGCCGAAGACGGAAGCTGATCTGGTGATTCCACCGACAATGCGGAGGCGTAGGGCCAATCGGTCTCTTCGCGGGGCAACTTCTTCGCCACGTGCCGCTCCACTTCCTCCTCTTCTTCCAACTCGAGCTCCATCTCCCGCTCACACTCTCCTCCTATCGCTGAGCTTCTGGACGTGTACACGGTTTTCCCGTACTGCGACGTCCTCGCAGCTATCTCCTGGCAAAGTTGGGGCTTGTGGACGTCGCCTTTGTAGCGGGTACGGTGCTGGTCGACCAACATGGACACCGCGCTGTCGACCGTGGCACGGGTGTACCCGGCGCCGTAGGCGGCGTCAAGGGTTGTAACTTCGTCCTGCTCGGCGCGGTCGGGTCGGGCAAAAGTCGCCAAAAACTCCAGCCCCTGGCCAGCCCACGTAAGAAGTCCAGACCGCGTAGCCTCGACGGTGTTGGCCATTATGTATCCCAGAACGTGTTGGGACGTAATGGTGTCGTTGCCGGAAACGCCGGACACCTCTCGGATCTGGGTTGAAACGTCTGGCGTACCGACAAAGACGATGGCCTGGTTGCTGCGCCCTAGCAGTCGAAGGCGGCCGGCAGCCTGCATGACTTTGTCCTTTCCGTTCTTGGGTCCGATAGTCAGCAACGCCTTGGCGTCGGCGGACAGCTTCAGGTCGGCGCCTCGGCAGCGGGCCTCGTCGTAGATGCAAAATGACTCGGAAGTCTGGATGGAGGATCCGCTGAGGGCCACGCAGCGCCCGACACGGTCGAGCACCATCCACTCTCCACCAACTGCCGCTGTCCGCTGGCTGGCGTCGAAGAAGACCACGCCGCGGAAGTCTTTCGACAGGCTCCGCTCGGGCGACAGCAGAAACGCGGCCGCTTCTTTGCTTGAAACCTTCCGCAAGAGGGCGCCACAGTCGACAAGAACATTCGTCCCCTCTTCCACGCACAAATTGAGGAGATTCTTCCACTCTTCAGGGGGCGCCTCGCCGATACTCTCTGCGTCTGGAACTACCTCGAGTGTGACGTATCGCTCGGTCCGCAGCAGGAGATCGAGCATCTTCCCGTTCGTGCTGCAGAGCGAGGCCAGGCTGTCGTCGCGGTTCTTGCGCACCTGTAGCGGCAGGAGGCGGTGGGAATCGTTGGTCCCGGAGAACCCTGAAGTTGCGCCGGTCCTATTCTCGGCGAGGAACCAAGAATTGGTGCCGACATATTTCGGACACAGCTTCGTCTCGGCGGGCAGAACCACGAAGTTCAGCCAGCTGTTGATGACCTCGAAGTTGTGCGCGAAGTAGCGGTAGAGGATGTCCATCTGCGGCTGGTTGGTGAGGTCAAGCTTGAGGACGTCGTCCATTTGCACCAAGTCGACTTCCGCCGGCCGCACCTCGTCCAACCAGGTGCTGTAAATATCGACTTGGGCACTCTCGGGAACATCCGCCAGCAACGCCTTCAAGACCTGTTTAAGCTCGGCTCGTGACAGACCATCGTAGTAGTAGGATAGCACGGTATACACGATGGCCACGTCTGGCTGCCGGAACTCAGAGCGGTCTGCCGGCGTGTTGCTGGCCCTGAAGGGAACCGCCAGCCTCTTCTTCGCCTCTGCCGTGCGAGAAACCCCGTAGTTCACCCTCGGGCGGCTCTGCAGACAGTGTAGAAGGGTTCCATGTGCGAGCAACCCCCGAAGGGCGAGGACCTGCGCCCACTGGGACTCGTCCGCGAGCGCCGATCTCTCGAGCACGTGATGAGCGCTCACCGCATCGTCCAGCACCAGAGTAGCCAGCTTAGCACGCATCGCTTCGTCGATGTCGCCTAGCCACCTCATCTCGTACGGCGGGTCGCTCGTCACCGAGTCGAAAAGCGCCCGGTGCAGCTCACCCTTGATGTCGTCCAAGGCACGCCCCGGGAAGAGGCGTAGGTGCCCAAACTGCTCCGGCCGGCAACTAACCTCTTCTACCGTAACGTTGCGGTTGGACAGCATCCCTGCTAGCTCTGGGTTCCTGGGCAATCGGCAAGGGTTAGAAAAAGCGATGACATTATTATGTTTGTAAGGCGATGAGTATCAGGACCAATATTTGAACGAATCATTTCGTGAACTCTATTTGAGTGTATTTCCACGATCAAGCAGCGTTTCGACATGCCGGGATAAGACCATACCAGTCTCATTCCAGTAGGATAACAAAGACGAGCTGTGTTGGAGCGTTGTCTCTGGCAGGAATGAGGACGCAAATCAAAAGAACTAGAGACGACCGGTGGGAATGCCACGGGGGGGGGGNGACGGAGCACGCCGGGTTCTCACCGGACCAGGCTCTCACATCACCCCGGTGGTCTAGTGGGTAACGTGGCAGCCTTCTAAGGGCCAGGTCATGGGTTCGAGCCCCGGCAGAGTGAGTATTTTTCTCGCTACATAAATCCTGGTCTAGGATGAAAGCGACGCTCTGCAAAGTTCGTTGTTAGTAAACCATGATCGACTTCGTAAGTGGCGAGGGAAGGGGTTGCTGTACCCTTCTCGCGATAAAAATACCTCAGGCAGGAACCGCAGGAGGGGGTCCAGCCCCCCCCTCCTATGTGACCCCGGCTGGGTCGTCTAGCTATTGGAAGTGGAGGATAGGGGCCAGAGGGGCGGACGACAGAGTCCAATGATGGTAGAGAAAAAAAAAATCACCAAGCGCGAAGCGCCGTGAGATATTCGGCGAGTCGCATGAAGGGTGCGCTGCATCCTGCTAA